TCGCGTAAAATTCAGCTGTAACAAAATCGATACATTTAGAATAATAGCACTTTGATCTAGGTTTGAACTGAAACCATTTGTATCTATGCGACATAAAAAGAATGCGGCAAAGCCAAAAGCTCACAGATTTTTCATGGATTTTGAATAGGTACTTCAATCTGGTTAAAATGACAAATTGTTGACTGAATTTTATGATTTTAGTTAAATTCAGAATGTGCGCTTCGTTTTAATCAAAAATGATTAATAGATCTTGAATTATTGTGCTAAAATATGTAGCTTCAAAAGAAGTTTCCTGCAGTCTCTGTGTCGTAATAACAACGACTTCTTTTTTTTTATAATTGTTGAGTTAAAAATTCCCGATTTCTAATGCAATTTTTCTACTCATACGTCTCAAACTTGTTCTAATTTTTCCGGTCTTTTTAGTTTGGACTTTTTGGAAGCATCATGTGATCAACACTCGAACTGGTTGACCCATTCTTCGTTTCTCTGGAAAACGTATGAATGGGTCTCTCACCCAATAATTATACCCATAATTCTCATCATACTTAAGAGGGATTTAAAGCGTTCATTAAGAACAGAAGTGCCTATTAGGCTGCGATTTCGAATGTACTGTTTCTCGCGTACGTTGGACAGCGAATCAATAAATTCAGCTTTGACTGACCACTCGACGATCTTAAGAATTCTATAAAATTCAAGTGAACTGTTCAATGAAATCAAAATTGGAAAGTTAAGACGTCTCGAATACTCTCTCATATTCAGTATTCAGCATTTTCCAGAGTTCAGCAAAAGGTACACGTATTGGTAGAAAAACTCATTTTTGACCCTTTACATGATGTACATCGACACAGTCATTATTAGGCTGTGACTTTTTGTACAAAATAAATATTGTTTATTCGATAATTTTAGTAGATAAAAGATGACACACTGACAGTTTTAATTCTTTTAATGTTTCTACTATTCTAAATTGCAACTGCAGATATGGTGATGAAATCGGGATTGTCTCATTCCAGAAGTTGCAAACATAAAATTTACTTATGAACATAACGAACGATCAGGATATATTGTTTATTTTCCTTGTTATTTAAGTGTTTGAAACGT